CTCACATAAAACCACCAGATTACTATCCCGAGCAGAACATGATGAAGGGCGAACTTCTGGAGTGTGGACCAGGCATGTTTTGACGGAAGCCCCGAGGGGACTCCAGTGCAGGAGGAGGGGACACCGGCCCAGTATAAGAAGGAAGTGGTGGGAACTGAGCCCATGACAGTGGGGTCAAATTGACAGAGGCAGAGATGAGTGGGAGATAAGTATAGTGGGGGCACAGATGCTTATGGGATATGTTGAAAAGGAGAATACAAGAAGGTACACTGAGAGGAGGAATTGAGTTGTAGGTCTCAGGGAAGCAAGAAGCAAAAACAAAGGTTCCAAAGCAGAGAAGGACTCATGAGCTTTTAGGAAAAAGTTAAGACCCAATTCCTGTGAGACTGGAAGAAGAAAGCACTGTAGTACATGTGGAAGACGAAAGTATGTCGGAAGGGAGCTTAAGCAAGATGGCCTCCACTACAGTCCATTCAGAAGGTCTCGTGAACATAGTGTACAGTAAGAGGGTGTCTAGACTTCAAGGGAAAGGAGTAGGTCTGGAACTTGGCCATGGAGTGCATGCCAGGTTGTAGAGGGAAAGTGTTCTTGCTGAGACTGACAGAGGTTAAAATCCAATGCTCACATGTCTTCGTTCAGTGAACGTCTACAATGGTTCCTTCATTCAGTCACTTTGTGTTAGTCTGGGTAGACTAGAGAAACAAATCCACAGAAACTCATATGTATATAAGAGAGCGTTTTATATAAAGGGTAAGTGTACATTAAGAAAGCATCCCAACCCAGTGCTGTCAAAGCCCATAGGTCCAACACCTTATGTCCGACACCCAAAGTCCTCCTCCATCTCACAAAACACAGACTATGACGCCGACTGCAGGAGGAAAGCCGAATCAGTGAGTGTGTAAGCATCTCAGTGCTGGCAGGGGTCTGTCTCTACACGGCTGCTCCAGCACCCAGGGCTGCATTGGGCTACGTCCATGTGGCTTCTCCTCAGGGATGTCTTGCAGGAAGTGAGCCTTGCCAGCTGAAGCAGGGAACTGGCTAAGGCAGCTGCACCCTGGTGCAACCATCAGAAAGCAGGAGACCCGAGAAGTAGAAAGGCGAGGCTGACTGAGCCATTTATCTTCAGCCCTTCAGTTAACCCCACATGTGTTCATCGGCCAGATTGACCCAATAAACTGTAACTATTTCACCCCCCACTCTGTGTCAGATGCTAAGACAAAGCATGCAGAGTCTTGGGAGGGAAAGGTGAGTAGGTAGCTAAGGACTAACTTTAGTCCATTCATTGTGATGCCTGTTGTTAGTAAAGGCTCATCTGGTTGAAGAGGAGATAGCTGCCTTATGAGTAAACAGTTAATTCAAAGAAGACAGCATAGAAAGCTACCTCATCTGAGGTGACTCCTAATGAATGAGGAAAGAGGCTAGGAGAAGCCTGCCTCCTGCCCCAAGCACTCAGGCCACGGGCCAGGAAACCCACCACGGTGGGTTTGTGTTCTGGCTGCCACGACCTCCTCTGCCCGCACCGGGTCCCCTGTGCAGGGGATGTCAGGGGCATTCATTCCACTTCTGACTATTTGTTCTTGATGGTGGTGAGATCTCCCACTGCTTCAGAGATGGCTCGTTTTATACCTGCTAGGATGGCAGAACTGACCAGTGCCCTCAGTAGAGTCCATGCGCTCCTTGTTTGCTTGTTTCCACCCGTCATTTAGTGGAGTCATAGCAGGTCATGTCATTCCAGTGCATCCTTCCAAAGTAAGCCACTGGTCCATCGGTTCCTACTGTGATCCGGTGTTTACAGATAGTAGTATTAGAATAGCTTTGATCGTGATAGGCTCTTACAAAAAGCAATCCCATGTTTAAGACCCCTAAGGTGGATCGCTGTAGGTTTTCAGGAACTGCTTTGTTTTTGGAGCTAATCTTGGGGAATCCATTTTAGAACATCTTGTTTTCACAGCATCTAGACTAGCTTGGGGATGGGTGGTGGGGTGGTGGGGTGGTGGTGGGGGGGAGGCTGGGCTCTCTACTCCGGTAAACGGTTACAGTCTAAGACACCCAGAGGTGAGTCCCTGTGAGTCAGCATCGACTTATGGCAGCACGTTTGGTGTTTTAGAGAGGCACTTGGGGGAGAAACACGACTTATCTTGCTATCTTTCCTCCAGTCAGAGGAAAGACAAGTTTTGCTTCTTGTCCTCACCCGAACAGGCAGCTTCTTTATCTAATGAAATGCATCCGTTCACAAAGCGTTGCTTGTATGGGTCCGGTAATGTTCATCACCAACACGCTGGTTTTTAAGGCGGGACAGGATCTGCCTCAACAAACGGCCCTTAAGAAGGCCCTTACATTTCATTTCTCAGTAGTCCCAAGAGACGACTCTTCTCCAGTTCATTCCTACCAGACTCTTTGTAATTTGATTCTGGCCTCTTCACTTAACAGCTCAAACAGAATTATGCTGTGATCAATGTGCAGGCATGTTGTCAAGCAGCTGATGTTGAGAATTCCATCCACTGTAAATACGCATTGCACATTCACTGAATTGCCTTCTCCGGCTTCTGGGAAAATGTATCCAGGGAAAACATATCTAAATTGATCCAAGAAATTCTGAAATTTTCTCTTTTCATGTAGCCCCTTCTAACACATAACTTTTGTTACTTCCAGAATTGATACTGGATACTATGTTAACTGGAAAGGTAAAATAATAATAGTTTAAAAAAACCTCACTGCCATGACTCCTGGCAGCCTGATTACTGGTAAAATAATAATATCAGTTAATTTTGGAAAAATTAATAGAGGTCACATCAGATGTGCCCTGGGGAGTAAGATGGGCTGTTTCGCTTGCGTTGTTGCTAGTTCTGAACCTGAAGGGATCATTTCACTTGAACACGGCCGGGGCACCGGATATGCCGGCAGGACTCCCCAACTGGCTTTTGTTTCTGTTGTACTTGAATGAGAGTGAGGGAATTCTGTTAGGCTTGCTTATTAGAGTTATAAACTACGTAGATGAGACAAGAAGAACAGTTCATATGCTAAGGAGCCCTGGCGATGGAGAGGGTTTCGCACTGGGCTACTAACCGCAGGTCAGCAGTTTGCAACCAACAGTGCTCCTTAAGAGGAGCAAGAGGAGGCTCTGTGCTTCCATAAAGAACGACAGCTCCAGGAACCCAGGGGGGCAGTTCTCCCCTGGGTGGCCGAAAGGCAGAATTGGGCAGTTCTGCACATAGGATTGCCAGGAGGCAGAATGGGCTCCGAGTTTATCACCTAGACCACTGTATTTCAAAAGGATGGTTTTTAAAATGTTTTCTGCTGTGAGCCTTTTTTCAGCCTCAGCTGAGAAGGGAAGAAAACCTACACGTTATCCCCTAATTTAGACTTCGTGTGGCATGTACACCATGCATAGCCAACCACGCTCTGCCTTACGGCAACCCCACGTGTGTCAGCCTTGGAATTAGGCTCCACAGGGTTTTCATTAGCTGGTTTTTAAAAATTGTGAATTAGGTGAGGGGTTTACATTTCAGACCATCAACTCTGTATTCAGCAATTCAAACCACTCATCAGCCCTCACCTCTGTACCCTCCCACCCCCCCCAACATGGCTAATTTTTTAAAACTTTTTTTGGTGAATTGGGCAAAGGTTTCAACGCAACTGTTTATACACATTTTGTTTCATGTCATTGATGGCAGTCCCCACGACAACATCACTCTTCCAACTGCTCCCCGTGCTCCGTGCTTCCTCCTCTCTAATCCTTATGACATCGCCCTTGGGCAAATGCTTATTCTAAGAAATATGTACCTCCCTCGGATTATTACCGTCTACCTGCCTAGTGCTTAGCTGAAAACTGGGCCACGGAGGTGAGTTCATTCCCAGACCTGAAGGATGGCTGGGGCCATCGTCCTTGGGGTCCACTAATCTCTGACATGGAGGCCTGGTCTTGTTGATGAGTTTTGTTCCGCATTCCCCCCACTCTACCAAAGACCCCTTTCTATAATGTGATCCTTTTCATAGCAATTGGTAGTGGTAGCCGAGCACCATCTAGTTCTATTGGTCTCAAGGTCGTGAAGGCTGTGGGTTCCAGTGATCCATTGGTCCATAGGTTGGTTTTTGGAAATAAGTCACCAGACCTCCCCCCATCCCCACCTCCCCTCAGGGTGCCCTGAGGTGGACTTGAACCTCGGACCTTTGGTCAGCAGCCAGCACTTTAGCCATTTGCATCACTCAGGTACACCATGCCACGCATAACCCAAATCTGATGAGAGAGAGGTGATGGGGATGGAAGAAAGCGTGAGCATCAGTAGCTGCAGAACACAAGACTGCAAGTGGATGCCAGCTGCTAGGCTGCCCAGGAGCTTAACCTAAGAGCATGTGAACAAGCAGCTCACAAGGCATTAATACATTCACAGCAGACCGTGAGGAAGCACTGAGAATCAGTCCATGTTATCAGGGCCAGTCATTGTGGGCTGGAGTGATTAAGTTTTGGGAGAAAGAGAGGAAGGCTTCAAAGAGGTGGGGACGCCCAGCCCTGTGGTTGGAAGACTTCAGTAGGCAGCAAGACGACTGTGGGGTGAAGTGTCCCTGCCATCGCACCTTTACAGGCAGGCGTTGCCGGGCTCTGGGGGAAGGGAGGAAAATATGGCAGGCCCTCTCTTCCCACTCCCTCCCCATCACTCCACCACACCCTCCAGAATGGTGCTGAGCATTTGGGGAGAAACAGCACTCTTGTGCCTTGGCCACGGACAGGCGTATCTAGGCGTGGATCCACGGTCCACGAAAAATGTCGGTGCCCCTATTCCCTTTGGGTCCTTATTTTCTGCTTCTTAAGAAATGGTTGCACCTATTGAAAATGCTCCTTCCTCAAGGTCTCCTCTGCCTGTGCTCTCTTAAGTGAACCAGGTCACGTTCGCCCCTCTCCCGTCGATGGCAGTGACGGCCACACTTAATTCAGGTTCCTTGGATTCAGAACCCAGTCGGTCAGCTCTCAAGAGCCTGGTGCCCATTCTTCTCTCTTCCAGACAAATGGACATCTGCCTGGGAACGGAGATGTGTATCAAGAACGGCTGGCGCGCTTAGAAAACGATAAAGAGTCCCTCGTTCTCCAGGCAAGTGGTTTGTCTAGATTCGTCTTTCCCAATGGTGTGCTTACGTGAACGTTCTTTTCATGGGGATATGGCAAAGCCTGACGCTTACAGAAAGTAGACAGCTAATAGAAACCTGTACACAGCTGAGAGCGGTGGGGCCTGTGGCAGAAGGAGCCTGTGCATCTGCAGGCTGGACGGAACAGTCCCCCATCAGCCTGAGTTCTTCAAGGGGCAGGGACAGTGAATTATTTAATGCTCTTCTAGACACCGTCTCTAACTTCCACCCCTGGATTATTGCTCTGTCTCCAACAGCACTCTTTTCCCGCTCTCCCCCACAGCACTCTGTTGTTCAGCTGCGTTCTATAATTCATCACAATGGCCACACAGAATTTGGTGACCCTATTCATGATGAAGAGGTTTATTAAGGAAGTTCACAGGTTCCAGTGTAGGCGAGAAATGCTCAGGGTAGTTGTAAATTTTTCCTCTTACAAAGTTTTTCGGGGTGGGGGTGGGGTTGCTAATAAATGCCCACCACAGGGCCTGTTACTCTACTCCGGGTCTCAACCTGAGGGCATTCTGATCTAGCTCCCCCAATTACGTGTCCAGAGTTACCCCACCCCAGGAAGCCCTCCCTTGAAGGCGCTTCCACTCCAGCTTTGTGAACGAGCGAGCCCAGCAACTTTGATTAATACCCAGAGGCACCTCGTGCCACAGGCCAGCCTCCTGCCCCAAAGCACTCAGCTTTACTTGCTCCGTGGCCTGGGAAGTCCACCTCTCGGGCTCCTATGTGGCTCCTGGGTGGGACTGTTAAGAAGGCGGGGCTTCTGCCGATGCTGCCCCGCTGCCACTCCTCAAATGTCAAGGCTGCCTTCTGGATCCAAGAGGCTCACTACACAGCAATCTCGGGGTGCTAACACCCTCTACTCCTGACTCTGGCTGCCGATGAGATCCCTCTCTCCTGCTCATAGGGCTCATTTTGTACCCAGTGGACGGCACTCACGTTGGGGGTGGGGGGGCTGTTACTCACAGGTGGGTCCCATCAGGGTCTTCTCCACCATCGTACCCAGAAGCATACAGCAAAGGGTCATTTAGTGGGTGTTACAGAGACTGCAGCTAGCAGAGCCACATTAACTAATTCACTGCCCCTGCCAAAGGCCATTCTGAATACAGGCATAATGCCATCCAGTCTGATTTTTTTTATCTGAATTTTTAATATTGGAAAATTAGGTTTCTATGAAAATACACTTTTTTTAAATGTAAAGTTTTCAGGGTTTTAAATGATTTTTCTCTCTCACTGTCATCAAGTCGCAACGCACAGCGACCTTAGAGGACAGAGGAGTACTGCCCCTGTGGGTTTCTGAGGGCGTCCATTGTTTCTGCTCAGAAAGCCTCATCTTTCTCCCATGGAGCTGCTGGTGGTTTCAAACTGCTGACTTTGTGATTGGCAGGACAGTGAGTAACCACTGCACCACCAGGGCCAGGGCTTCTGTTTTAAATGAGATGGTAGGCCAAACAGAACACTATTATGAATGAAGTCCTGCTTATGGGTTAACTTGAAGAGTCTGATTTTAACTTTTGATACATTTATTGAGATACCATATATACTGTGTATAAGCCGAGTTATTCAGCACATTTTTAATGCAGCTTTTGTGGTAAAATTAGGTGCCTCAGCTGATATTCGGGTCAGCTTTTACTCGACTATATACGGTCTTGGAACTAAATTATAGCTAGTAGATTGGTGGTCTTTGGAGGAGGGCTGGCCCACAGCAATTTTCAGTAAATACCAAGATGATGCACTAACCCAGGGGCCCCTCGTGGACTCTTAGGGTATAACAGGTTATACCTCAGCCTTGAACAGATTCTTGTAAGCAGTGTCATTTTAAAAGATCTCGTGGGATTGTACAGTTTCCCGGTTTCATTTTTTCTTCTTTATTTGTCTTGAAGCATCATCTTTGAACAGTCCTTGATAATTTCTGCTTCAAACATTAGCTTCATTTCCTCTTTTAACTTTTACTATTGCCCTTTCGCCCCGCACCCATAAAAAAAGAGAGAGCATTTGTGCACGCACGGAAAAGGCGTCCTGTGAACCAAAGAGCAGCAGAGAAGTAAGAATGTGAAGGGGAAAACAAAGAACGTGTAAGATTGTTGCCTTATCATGAATGTCAGAATTTCCCCCCTTTAATTAAATGCGTAGCTCGATCATTCCAAATTTTGTTCTATTGAAAGAAATAAAGTGTGCAATAAGATCCCCGAGTCCTGTCCAACTCACCGGAGCCTCTGCTCTAATTACAGGTCAGTGTGCTAACAGACCAGGTAGAGGCTCAAGGAGAGAAGATTCGCGACTTGGAGTTCTGTCTGGAAGAGCACCGAGAGAAACTGAATGCCACAGAGGAAATGCTGCAGCAGGTATGTGCCGAAGCAGCCAGCAAGGTGCGCTTGTCCTGCTGCGTGCTCGAGAGGCGGCCTGGGCAGTTCCGTTGTGCTGATAACTCTGAGGATGGAGTAGCGTCTCCACACACGTACACACAACATCCGATGCTTCTGTAATTAGGATTTGGACGGACATATGTTAGGTCTTTGGGTTATTTTAATTTCCCCTCCGTGTTTCCAGATTTATGTCTCTTCTGCTCATCTAAATTTCATAGACCCCGACACTTGGTTTTCTTTTAACCGGCCGCACATGCGTCTTCTATTTAAAGGAAAGATAGACATCTGTGACTTTACTAGGGGGGAAAAAAAACCTCTTCAGTGCCTATCCACGCATGGATATCCATACATGCTCGTGTCTCAGAGGCTTTCTGATACGATGGATGTACCTCAGGGGCACGATCACTGCTAAGCAAAGATTGGCCTTTCGGGCCCTCCACTAGCTCAGTGGAGAAGGGTCTGCTGATCTGCTTCTGCCAAGTTCATAGCCCAGAAAAGCCTGTGGAGTGGTTCTACTCCGTAACACGTGGGGTGGCCATGGGCCAAGGGCCAGCTTGGCAGCAGCTGACAACACTAACGGTACAATACAGGCCGGAATGCAACCGCCTGGCTTTCTGTCCTGCTCTGCCATTTACTTTTTGGTAAGTTCTTACTCTCTGTTCCTTCCCTTCTGTTTGTCAGAATAGTAAGAATCTCCCTAGGACTGTTGTGAGGATAGAACCACTTAATGTATGCCAGAGCATTGCCTGTCACCTGGCCATCATAGTTATCGTCATCGATGTTACCGTCATTGGCCTTCGGAATACACAGGGTGTATCTGTATGTGTGTGTGCATCTGTCTGTGTCTCAGCTAGTACACAGACCAGTGTTTAGTTCTGCTCAAAGGAGGGTAACCAGAGTTCATATTTGCTTTGCAAAAGCCTGTATATTTAATAAGCGTGTTCCATCCATTACCTGATAGTTGCTGCTTTGCAGCCGGAGCTCAGACAAAGCCGCAGGTGAGTGCTGGCAGTGAAACATCTGATGGATTGCATCTCGTAAATTCTCCACAGGAACTTCTGAGCCGGACATCTTTAGAAACTCAGAAATTGGACCTGATGGCTGAAGTATCGAACTTGAAGTTAAAATTGACTGCTGTAGAGAAGGACAGATTGGATTATGAAGATAGGTTCAGAGACACTGAAGTAAGTGTGCCATCTCTGTCTCTCTCATTTACACCCCCCTACACACACACACACACACACACACCCCTAGAGCAAAGTGGAAATTCATTGCAGGTGTGAAGAGATCGCAGCAAGTTTATATATACCCACATATATGAGGGGGTTTCCAAAAGTTCCTGTAAAAATTCCATTATCTTTTAATTCCATTCTTCCATGAGCTCTTTGAAACCTCTTCTTATGCTACTCTTTAAGAATAAACTTTGTTTATTGACGTTTTAATCACATATTGTTAATGGAAGTTTTTACTTCAGACTTTTAACATCGATCATTTCATTAGTCATTAAATACTTTTTTTTACTTTAGGATACTTGAAGCCACTGCCTAGCTCTGTGTCCATCCACCCAACTATCTAGTCATCTGTAGTCATCCATCCATGCTGAGTTTCTAATTGTGTCAAAAGGGGCCTTAGGTACATGGTCTTAATAGTAAGTGGGTTTTATTTAGGTACACTGATTATTTGCTGTATACAAAATTAGTGGATATTTACAATATGTCTGGAGTATATACTTATATCATCTAACCATAAAATCACAGTGCTTTTCAGAGTTATTGAATTTGGCTTTCTGCTTGGTGACTCTTACAAACCAAATAAGAAAGGCTACCTCTACTCTTGTGAAACTTGGGATCAATTCTGTGACTTGAAGTCCTCACTCTCCTTCTCCCTATGTTGTTTCTCGGGTTGGGGTGGGAGGGAGAGGGGTCACACTGTGGTCAGGAAAAAGTGCCCTGCAGGAGAGAGGAGGCAATCACTCCCAGGCCAGCATCAGAGGGAGAGCAGGGCCGTTCCATGCCACCCGCACGAAAACACGTACAGTGAGAAAGCGAGCTACACAGTTTGTCTTGGTTTCCTGGTCCGGGTGAATTTATGCTTACGCTCTACTGCTACGTCCCGTGTGCCGCAGCCTTGTGAACAGGTGTGTGAGAATTACCGAACGGTGGCACAGAAACACAGGGTAAGCCCTCGTGCTGTTGGGAAATGGCACACTGACAGGTGCAGTGCTGCCCCCAACCTGCCATTCATAAAAACTCACTGCAAACACAGCAAAGCGAGTCAATTAAGTGAGATCTCCTTGTACTTACTTTTCACGTCTTGCTTCATTTTGCACTCATTGCGACAGGATCCTACAGGACAGAGTAGAACTGCCCCCCTGGGTTCCCAAGACCGTAACTCTTTATAGGAGTAGGGAGTCTCATCTTGCTTCTTCGGATCAGCCAGTAATTTTGAACTGCTGACCCTGCACGTAGCAGTTCAACGTGTAACCTATGCCCCTAGGGTCACCGTGAGTTAGAGTTCACTGGATGCAGCAAGCTTAGTTCTTGGGTCTTCATTTGAAGCATTTATTGCATCCTATCTTGATACCAGCCACTCGGCATACCTGAGCCCCCTTGTACAAGCTGTTTGTAGAGTAAAAGTTAAGAGGTTGGAGGTAACGAATCACATGAGAGCTACTTGCAGAGGAAACTATCTGAGGCGGCCCCTGACGTCATAGCAGCGAGTGAAAGCCCAGGAGTGGTGACTGATCCTCCAGGAGAAGGGGGTTTCATTATGACAGATGACCCAAAGAGATCCCTGTGTCAAAAATTGCCAGTTGTTGAAGGACCCCAAGCTATTCCGTGTCCAATAGAGATAAGGTGCATGTTCTTAAAGGGGCCAATGACAATCCTACAGACTGTACTTTGACACCTGGCTTCATACCTACCTTTCCTCTGGCAACAGATCAAGGCAGCAAACTTGGACTCTCAAAGAACAAACGTATTGTGTGTTACTCTAACACCCACCGGGGGTTCAGTGTAATCGTCGACCCGTGTGGCTCCATAGGCAGCAGCCATCCGGATACAGGACCAGTTGTCAGCCTGGAAAAGGGAACTTGCTCCGTTTATTGGAGAATCGAGACAAGCGGAGAGCGGTCTTGCTGCGTGCTTCATCTTTATTACACAGACACAGTGTCAGCTCAGCATTCTCTAGACCTCAGTCATGCTGAGACACGTGTGATAATAATAGACACACGTGTCTGTGTGCTCAAGGGAAGACCCTCTTTCCCACCTCATACGTAAAGAAAGAGCCTATAGATGTCATTTCTGGTCAGATTGATTCTTATGTGCCCTTGATTAGGGCATTTTCCTATTTTGCGTGATCTGGGATACCACAGAAATGGTTCCGTCTGTCGCAGCTCCCGTGGGAGAGTTAAGTTTTGTCACCAAATGTAAATGAGATTCTCTTCAGTGCATCAGAATCAGAATGATGCAGTGATCCACGTGAACCACTAAGTGTTTCCTATGATCACCTATGTGACTAATGAGGGTATATTGCTCTTCCTATAGGTTTTATTTCTTTGCATCGGATGTAAGTAAAATAGAATGATTCAGCAGTAATAAAGTCAGTACGATCACTAACTTTCCTAAGCACATACTATTTTGCAGTGTAGACAACGATGACGATGGGATTCTTGTTAGAGGATGCTACTCCATACCTGAAATTCATGTTACTGTATACATGTATAAGCCGAGTTTTTCTGCACATTTTTAATGCTGAAAAAGCCCCCCTCGGCTTATACTCGAAGGAGGGTTCCCACTTACCTGTTCTCCGGTGCAGTGCGGGTGTTCTCCGGTCTCTCCCGCTCTTCTGCGGGCGCCTGCAGCCTCTGTGGGTGGTCCGATGACTGCTGGTATCACCGCTCTTCTTTTCTCCTGCACGCTGGCAGTCTCTGTGTTGTCTGTACTGCACTGGGCAAGAACCTGCCCGCTGCTGTGTGCTGGTACCTGGGGCGCACCGCATCCTCCTCAGATGACTGTCGGATGCGGCTGCTCTTCTCCCACTCTTCTCCAGGGCTGTGACCAATGACGGAGCCTTTACCGTCTGACCCGTGCTTCGTCAGGCCCCCTTACTCCGCCCAAGCATTGTTGAATACAAGTACCTGAATATCGCTGGTCTTGGATATACAGTACGTGTATTTACAGTACTTAGTCTGCTATATTTTATTTTTTATTTTCTTATTAACCCCTATCTGGACCCAGTGTTGACTATGCTTGCATACAGCAGCCTGTGTTAGGGCTCATGTTATACATGCTGCGTTGCATACGCTGTGTGTTACTGCATGTGTTGCATTAGCACTTCCCATCCATATGTGGTAACGCTGCGTATACAGTAACAGTGCATGAAGTAACACACTGCATACACAAAACAGTGTGTATATGATGAGCCCTAGCACAGGCTGCTCTATGCAAACAGTCATGTCATCACATTCTGGAATATCATCAGCCTGTGTGAGGCCTCAAACTATACACGCTACTGTTGTGTACATGTGGTAAGGCAGCATATGTAGTACTGCAGCGCGTGCATAACACAGCATGTATAGCTGTTGTTAATACCATATTGTTTTTGTTGACCCTCTTTTCCACTTACAAAGCTAGCTTACTGTTTTTCTTTGAAATAAATATTCGAAAACATTCAACCTACTGATGCCTCAATTAATGTAATTGTATTGGTATCCATTTTTATTTTGAAATTTACCTGTAACTGCTGCATTTCCCACCCTAGGCTTATACTCAAGTCTATAGTTTTCCCAATGGCAGGTGACTCTCAGGAAAAAAATCAAGTCTGGATTATCCATGTGGCAGCTCTGAACTGCCTTCCCCCTGCTTGACCAAATCAGTCATGAGGGTGACCAGATACTTATGTGATTTGTAGATGAAAACAAAGTGAGTTTTCTGTTCAGTGTTTCCTTTGCCCTTGGGCTGCATAAACGGAACAGTAGGTAACCAGATATCAGAGAACCAATCTAACTGTTGGCTTGGTTCGTAGTTGTGTCATTCTTAGCTGGGAGTGCTGTTGGGTCTGGAAAGTTGGGCTGTTTCATAATTCCCACTGCTAGGACATGCTCTCTAAATTGTCCTCGTTTTCCAGTAAACGGAGTGTGTTTGATCACTAGACTCTCTCGATACTGGATTGCTTCCTCTGTGAGGTTCTTAACACCTTTTCTCTTCATAATAAAGCAACTAATGTTAGAGCACATTTCAACAAGAAGGGTGTGTAGTGGAAGTATTGCATATTGTTTATAATATCTATACAAAGGAAGCCCTGGACGTTAATTTTAATATTTGCACAAGATCTGTTTTTCATATGTTAACACCTATAATTACACTGACTTGTTATTTTCTACTGGAATTCTGGAACCTAGGAAGCTATGTGTTTGTTTCTTTACACTTATTTCCCTGAAGCAAGAGACTTTGTATGGCCTTCAGCACAAAGACTTCAGACCAATTCTTTGTATTACACTTTGTTGCCTCTTGGCTATATGACTTACGAGTGCAAATCATTGAACTCTAACAAAATATTGTAGAGAATAAATCATAATGGGTTAAACATTTTTTTAAGTCAGTTTTTTTGTGGTAAAATTAGGTGCATGGCTTATATTTGAGTCAACTGATACTCAATTATATATGGAATATCTCATGATTTCCCCTCTCTGCTATTTATGCATAACCAATCGGTGTTATCATGTTTGTGTGTTCTTTATATAACTTTGATGTGATTTGTTATCAGACTGCTTCCTATGTTGGTAGGTATGTATTTTTATTATGCAGACATAAATAAAATTGTCTTTTTAAAATTAAAAAGAAGAAGAGAATGAGGTTTAGCCTCCTGCTATTAAAAATTACATGTTCTCTTGAAGGTCTGGCTGCCTTGGTCTTGGTCTCTGCCTTCCTTCCTTTGCAGCTAAAGGAACCCTGTAGCTCCTTTCATAGTTTATGCTTTCCAGCCTAGAGCGGTTTTGAGTAAGCTACGTGAACCATGCTTCTCTTGCGACTGGGCCTGGGGTTTTAATACAGCATGTAGAGAAAATGCCCAACTTCTTTAAAAGGTTTGTCTTCGTGCTTTGTCTCGGTGGTTTCCTCTGTTGTCCCTGCCGTTCCTTGACCGCACAGTTGCAGTAAACGTAATAACGCAAACAGGGCGGGGAGCTGGTTTCGCTGCTGAAAGAGAAGGTCCAGCACCTGTGGGTCCAGAGGTGGCCTTCTGTAGTCTGTATGCAAAGAATAGGGGACATCTGCACACATACACACACACCACTGCTGGTTTAATCTGAGTACAACGTGTTCACCGAACACTGGCACTAAATTGAGCTGACTGTTCGATGATTTTTGTAAGACCTCAGAGCTGTCTTTATGTGCCGTCAGCTTGTGCAAATGGAACCGTGAGTGACCAGAGTCGAGCTGGCCCACAGGGTTTCCAGGGATGAACCCTATAAAAGCATGTTGCTCCATGGAGCGCCCCGTGGATTGAAACCACTGACTTGCCTTTAGCTCCCAAATGTTTCACCATTGTGACACTGGGGTTTGTGCATAACCTAATCGTTATTTCAAACAGTGCTTCCATATTTCAGCATGCATTCTCGATCACATGTAAAACCATCTTATCGCAAACTTCCCGTAAACTCAATTCCTGGTAATTTTCTAATAAAGATTCAACATTATTGGTAAATGGTAATATGCACACACTCAGATTATGAGTTTTAACAAAATTTGTGATGTTATGTATGTAAATGAGTAAAACCTAATGGTGTATGCTTATTTTTCCTGTTATTGCCCTCTTAATAAAGATGAGATGTACATATTATATATGTATATACCATATATACTCGTGTATAAGCCAAGTTTTCAGCACATTTTAATGTGCATTTTTGTGGTAAAATTAGATGCCTCCACTGATATTCAGATTGGCTTATACTTGAGCATATATGGTAAGATGGGCACCAAAATTTTTTTTTTTAATCATTTTATTGGGGGCTCTTACAGCTCTTTTAACATTCCACACATCAATTGTATCAAGGATATTTGTACATACGTTGCCACCATCCTTTTCTAAACATTTACTTTCTATATGAGCCCTTGGTATCAGCTCTTCTTTTTTCCTCCCCCCCCACACCCATGACAAATAATAAATTATTATTGTTTTCATATTTTACACCAATCACGGTCTCCCTTCACCCATGTTTCTGTTGTTCATTCCCTGGGGGGGGGGGGTATGTGTTGATCATTACAATTGGTTCCCCTTTCCTCCTTTCTTTCCTCCCACTTCCCTCTCCCCTCCTGGTATCACTACTACTGTTTCTGTTGCTGATGGGTTTATCTGACCTGGATTCCATGTGTCATGAGCTCTTATCTGTACCAGTGTACATACTTCGGTCTAGCTCGCAGTGAAAGGTAGCATTGGAGCCATGCTAGTGGGGGGTAAGGAAGCTTCAAAGAACCAGAGGGATATTGTGTATTGCATCAGTGCTATACTGCGTCCTGGTTGACCCATCCCTTTCTTGTGACCCTTCTGTAAGGGGATATTCTATTGTCTACAGATGCATTTTGGGTCTTTGCTCTAACACCCCCCCCCCCTCCCCCCAATTCTCAACAATATGTTTTTTGTTTGTTTGTTTGTTTGTGGTCTTAAAGTGCCTGTTACCTGATTCCATCGATACCTCATGATTGCAAAGGCTGGTGTGCTGCTTCCCTGTGGGCTTATTTGCTTCCCTGCTAAATGGCCGCTTGTTTAACTTCAAGCCTTGAAGACCCCAGATGCTATATTTCTGATAGCCAGACACTATCTGCTTTTGCAGACATTTGTCTTCAGCGATCATGTCGGGAGGGTGAGCATCACAGAATGCCAGCCAGGTTCTAAGAACAGTGTTCTTGCGTTGAGGGAGAGCTTGAGCAGAGGACCAAAGGCCGTCCACTTCCTCAATGTATTGCCATATAAATGTATGTACATAGGCCAATACCTGTATTTTTATGAATTAATATATTTACAAAAGTTCACACCTATGTTCTTACCTCTATCCAAAGCTTTTCTTCCTAGATCTTTCCTCTGTTTCCTTTTACCTTCCTCTGCCCCACCATCACACTCACCCTTGTTACTGCCTCTTAGTAATTCCTCTCAGCTAGATTGTTGTTGCTCTAACACCCCCAGGATCTGTACATCCTCCTTGTTGTGGATTTTAATTCCCTAGTTGTTCCCTGTCTATCTCACAGTTCTTCCCGCCCTCCATTCCTCCCCCCAAGTCCCTCTGGAACCGTTGGTCCCATTGCTTTCTCCTCGGGCTTGCTTCACATGCCTGTCTTATACAGGTAGGCAAACCAAAAACAGAGACAAAACAAAAAGAAAACAAAAGAGTGAATAAAAAGAGGGGGGTGAGGGAGGAAGAGGAGGAAAAACTAGCCAAAACATACATAATTCTAGATCTGCCCGCTAACCTTTATAACTATCTCCTCACTGGTTCTGGTGGGTTATGAACCTAAAGTTATTTGAACTTTTTCTTAGATTTTGAGATCAGTTGGGTAGTACTTTGGAAGAAAACAAACACTGGAGTGGGGAAGGATGTTTCTTAAAGATTGTTGAGGAAGGAAGCCCTGTTCTGGGAATTGCTGGTAGAGGTGGTTAGCATAATTCAATAGTGCCCCCTTCTGGCCGAGAGTACAAATGTCAGAAACTGAGTTCTTTCACAAACAAGTCTTCTAAGGGAAAAAGGGAAAGATAATGGGGATTTTCTTTTCAGAAAGGACCGCACTTTTATTAAGAAAGTAGTTGAAATCATTTTATGCATATTTAAAAATAAATGTAATTGCTTTGTTTTTAAGTTTTGCATTTTAGGAGCTGTTTCCAGGTTTTCCAGCGATCCCATTTTATAATCTCATCTTCTTCAGTAGTTTCTTCTTCTCTGAAAATTGACACCACATTCAACGATGTGGTAAATACCAAATAGGAGCTTAGAGCTGTTTCTTAGCAATTCTAAAAATGAGACTTAAACTCAACTCCCTGCTGTAGAGTAGATCTTATAGCATCCCAGTAGGACAGGGGAGACCCATCCCCACTCCCCCCATTGTTTCATCATTGCGGAACAAAGGATTTGGAAATTCCAAGCAGGGTTTTAAATGGAGAGATGCTGTGATTGACACGGATAGGTTATTTTATGTATCTGATTTGATTAATGTGACGTTAGCCCTAAAAGCTGTTGACTTCCTCAGATTTCCAGACCATGATGGACTTGCAGGCACTGGCCCTCTAAGGGAAAGAAGGCTGGCAGTTCACACCGATCTGGGCTTCCTGGCAAGAAAGGCTGGCGATCTACTTCCAAAGAGCCAGCCTTGAAAATCCTCCACAGTTCCGCTCACACACACAGGTCACCATGAATCGGAGGTGACCTGACAGCAACCGGCTTCTCCATTTTCCTAATACGTTTCCACGCTTTCCTTTTGGCCAGGGACTCATGCAGGAGATCAGTGATTTGAGATTAAGAGTCAGTGAAATGGACAGCGAACGACTGCAGTATGAAAAAAAGCTTAAATCCACCAAAGTAAGTGTTCTCACCAGCAAGCATGTTGCACACGGTGCCTTCACGCCTTAGCTACGGTCAGTAATGTACACGCCTTGCACTCTCAGTCTATTGTCCGAGTGGATGCGGTATCTCCCCAAGCTGGGGACCTCCTGGAACATAAACACTGTGGCTCTGAATGCAACCCAGGCTGAACGAATCAGACAGACTATAAAGCTATCATTTCCCTGAATGATCTAACTTCCTTGATGAACTAAAACAATTTTCTTGGTGATTCAGCTTATCTTTTTCTACCTCTAGTTTTCTCTCTCTCCTCTGTCTCTCTGCCAGTCCTTAATGGCCAAACTTTCTAGCATGAAAATCAAGGTGGGTCAGATGCAGTATGAAAAGCAGCGGATGGAACAGAAATGGGAGTCCCTGAAGGTGGAGTAGACCGTGGGGGCGGGCGGGGCTGGGGCCTGTTGCTCTCTGCCTTGTGTTGTTTTGCTGTGATGGTGTTTTAGAAGCATGGGCATTCTTTTCACATGTATGTCACCTACTTAGTCGACATTTGTTTAAAGCTGGGTCACAGGACAGTGCAATTCGTACTATTGTTTCCAGAGATGTGTGGCATAATTACTGAAAAGTAAGAAACAGGTCAAATGAAAGCGTTTATTTCCAAATTAAATCTAACTCTCTTAAACTATTAAGCAGCCCTGGTGGCGCTGTCTGGTAAACGTCAGACTGTGAACCTCGAGGTCAGAGATTCAAAGCCACCAGCTACTCCTCAGGAGAAAGATGGAGCTGTCTGCCTCTGTAAAGATTTATAGCCCCAGAAACCCCATGCAGGGACACTGTGAGTCACCGCCATCCCCATCACAGTGGGTGGGCTTAATCAACAGAAAAGACTGCTTTCCTCCTTCATGATGCGCCTTCTTGGAGGCCAGTGCGTACAGTTGTTCACGCTATCATACAGTGAACGGAATTCCCTGCTGAGAGGCAGCGCGGTGAGCACACGGCTGTACTCTGGGCATTTTTACTGGGCATCCTCTCCCACCGTGAAAGTAAACCGAAATGAGAGAACCTACTTCCTGGCTTCTCTGGAGAACCATATCCCTACTGAAAGGCCTACCTTTAGGGACTCAGAAAATAAACTGTTGTGGAGTCTAAACCTGCATTTACTAGCAGTGAATCCCCGCTCCAGTTTTTTATACTAAAATTGTAATATAAAGCTATGGAGACTGTGCAGCTTCAATGTACAAAAGCTAAATAGAAATTCTTTACTAAAATGAAACTAAATCATAAAACATTAATGCATAAAGCATTGGGCATGGACTCTTTTACTGTTAAAATTTTTTTTAAAGATGACATAGAACCTTAATCTATGTTTTCTAAGTAGACTTTTCTCCCCATTGTTGGAAGAGATTCTGTTCTTTTATTTTAGTAATAAGTAAATTATTTAATCCCATGATTGGCTAACATTAGAGTTGTTCCTGACTTATTAATTCACCACTAATTAAACTCTGTGCGTGTCCATGAACATAAGAACCATCTTGAGCTGCTGAATAAATGTCAAAAAAGTGTTAACGTCTCAAGTTTGCTATTGTAACACTAATTGTTCTTGATTAACTTTGTCAGGTTTTCCATTTAACACAGTTTGCAAACCATAGGGCTCCCAGTGCCAAGTATGCTTTAAGAGACACCCCCCCCACACACACACACACACACACTGAGTATATAGGCCTTAGTTGGTTGCATAGGCACTGGTAAGAATCATACCGTCATTGTTATAAGGTGAACTTTTGTTTTGTTTTATTTCTTCCTCATCTTTGTTCCTGTCTGATTTCTCGTGTGTCTTAAGTTCTCATAGATGTTTGTTTCATCCATTGACAATTGACTGTTGGTCTCAGTGAGCCCGAGTGCTCTCTGAAAATGCCCTTTGCCTCATGAAGGGCTATCTGAACACAGATTGACCATTTGTAGGAGGAACTGGCATCTCTGAAAGCACAGCTGGCAGAGAAGGAGACTGAAGTGAAGGGGCTACAAGAAAAACTGGTCTGCAAGATGAAAGGGGACGGGATTGAAATTCTTGATAGAGGTAAGCATGTTTGTCTGACATCCACTGACTTAGCGTGTTCCCGTGCCTGGAGACTGCTAGCAGATCCCGGTGCTGCTCAGTGTTGCAGTCCGAGCATCAGAGAACGGAAGGGTAGCGGGTCATCTTGGCTCAGGTTCGTGGGCAAGGCTGAGGCCTGTTTACTGTGACTGGGAATCGAACCACGAACCTTCTCCTGCCGCTGAAGGATGGCCCTGTTCTTTTGGGGGGATTCATTGTAGGTGACTAAATTGTAACGTTTCATCACGATGATAGCCCCCCGTCCTAGCAGCAATACAAGGGACACCAGAAAGAGTGACAAAGAATCACTGTGACACCCTAGTGGTGTGTCCCTCTGAACTGAGCTTGACACAATACAAAATAAGAAATTCTGAAGCCATTTTCTGCCCTCCTGGGACAAGGCTCAAAGCACACATAGCGTTGAATCTTTGGACAATCAGGAGACCTTTCTAACCCGTAGATTGAACCCTCAACCTATTAGAAAGCAAAGATGCACCCAAAAGATTTTTCATAATTGAGGGGCTGTGCTGTAAATATTAGATGATGTGTCATTTCTAAAAATGAGGTTATTCTTTATATAAAATATATTTTGTGGAAGATATATTTCATATGAAATATTGATAAAAGTTTTGCTCATATAAAATAATAAAGTCAGCTTTATAAATTATATTTGGAAATACACTGCGTATAACGTCTGACTGTGCTAGGTGAAATTCAACTTTTTTGTGTGTGATTACAAACATTTGGTGACTACAAGACACTAAAGACACTTCTTTTGACTCATCTGAAACAACAAGTTTCAGTTAGTGTAGCCCTGGAAGGGAGACGTCGGACAGGGCAAGACACGACAAAATAACAATTTACAAATTATCAAGGGCTCATGAGGGAGGGGCGAGCGGGGAGGGAGGGGAAAAATGAGGACCTAATGCTGGAGGCTTAAGTGGAGAGAAAATGTTTTGAGAATGTCACAAATGTTGAAAAGCCACATAGGAACACCTTATATAGAAATGTTAAGATCACAACAACAGTAAATGGTCTTTCGTCAAAACACATTTCCTTCAGGAATGTGTGTTGGAGAGACGGAGGTAGGGCTCGACTTTAGGTCTTCTGATGATTTGTCTTGGATCGTCTTTCTAGTATCGGTTCTAGAGCTTTAAAACGGTGCTTACCTCTCGGTCCTCCTGAGATGAGAGGCCCTTTCTTTAAGGTAAATGGAGAATAAATAATATAGCGCTTTTAAAACACTGCTTCTTGTTTTAATGGACGCTGCCTCCAACTCACTGCGTTTTCCCGCACAGAAGAAAATTTTAAAAAGAAGCTCAAAGAAAAAAGTAAGGTTTTTGGTGTTTATCCACCAGCCTTTAATTTCATCAAAAGTACTACTCGGACTGCTCTTTGCATGTGTGCTAAAACGTGTCTCTCACCAAAGATGCAAAGTTGCTTCATCAATAAGCCCTCCATTTCTTTAGCTTTTATAAAAAGAAAGTTTGGAAACAAAGAACTTGTTGCCATCTAGTCACTTGTTCAGTCTCGAGGCCCTACGGACAGGGTAGAACCATCCCTGGGGGTTTCCAAGGCTGGGAAGCTGTATGGGAGCCCACTTCCTGGTCTTTCTCCCAGGGAGCAGCGGAGGGTTCAACCCACTGACCTTGTGGTTAACAGCCCAGCACATCGCCCCGCTAGGCGCCCAGAGCTCCCAAGGGTAAGCAATGACGCAGTCACAAGCAGAGAAAGATGGTTTCATCGCCGTCACCCAGTGATAGCCTGGTTAACAAGACACTCCGATGGTGGAGGGGAGAAAGGCGTCTTCTCTGTGGTCCAGCAGGCCCACGGTCAGAGGAGAAACTGGCCTTTATATCTTAAGGAAGTCCGCCATTCTTAAGCATCACCAACATTGAATGGTCATTTTGACCTTTGCTCTTGCCTTCCACTGTTTTGAGCCCCTCTCTGTGCTGAGGTCTACATCAGCGCCAACCTAGGGAGCCCTGGTGGCAAAGTGGTTACGTGGGCAAGCCAGCTGAAAGGCCAAGAGTTCAGATCCACCGGGCACTCTGAGGAAGAAAAGCGTGGCAGTGTGCTTTTGTGAGTCAGAACCATTTTCATGGCAAAAGACCGGAAGTGCTTATGACCCTTAATATACCCTCTGCCCTTTTGGTGTTTCAAAAGAAATCATCTCCTGGATGCTTAATGAAGCCTGAATTAGTTAATGGCACATCAAGATAAATCCTTGATTAGAACTTGGCGCCAGGCATGACATTCTTCAAATAAGGGGAGGAGAAGGTGGGAGAGTTACTAAGGAATACATCTAGAGAGAAAATGGTTTGTCAGTGGTGAATAATATATTATCTGAAGTAGAATTTTACTTTCCCGTCAGAAGCAAGCATCTTTAGCTGTTTTTTGTTTTTATTGTTCTCAGTTTCCTTTGTCAATTTGGATTTCATTTCAGGGTGGCAGGGCATTTTATAATGACAGCAGCAGGAGTTCATACCAGAATTATAAATTCTAAGGAAAATCCCACTGAGCTTTCTTTGGTTCTTAAGTCTCCCAATGTATTGAGCATTATGTTGGAAATGAGGTTTATGGATGAAGCACATGTTTGTTCTTTGGTATGGACCCTAGAACCAACTTCTTAGCATGACCGCTCACGTCGGGCTTCACCATTTGAGCCTCCATCGTGGTGACAACTAAATTCCATTTCCTCGCTTGGTCATTCTGTACGCCGGTCCTTGTTTCCAGCCACTGCTTTACAGGCTTCCCTTGAGCCAGCGTCACGGTCATTGTCGCACACCGACTGCCTCTGCAGCGTGTCTTGAGGATGTTGCTGTCGCTCCGAGAGGGAGTGGTAGTGATCGTGTGCCCTGGTTGTTCCCTCTCTAGGATGACCGCGAGTCAGGGAGGTCGGAGGCGCTCCTTGTTCAGACTTTACTTAGAAGAGAAAATGGCGTGAAATGCGCCTCCATTGAAGAATTTTTTTTTTTTTAGTGATTTTAGCCATTGTCACACAGGTTAACTGACTTCTGCTCTGATGGATTCTTTTCAGATACTGAAGTACAAAAAATGAAAAAAGCCGTGGAGTCTTTGATGGCTGCAAACGAAGAAAAGGTATCCAGATGAGATGTACTCGTTTTGCTCGTTCTGCGTATTGGAAGGCAGACAGTTCGGCCTGAGGGAGCAATGCAAATACTGCTGAGAGTCTCCTTCCCTGCCTGATGTGTAGGCCTCGGCGGGGGGCAGGCGTGGGGACCAGCCGCTGACTGCGCTTCCTAGCTGAGAACATCCCCTCCCCCCAACCATGGCTTTAGAAAATGTGGAAGCCATTATAAGTCAGTTCTGTAACTCAGGTGACTGAAAGGAGCTCTGGTGGTGCAGTGGGTTAGGCATTGGCCTGCTAACCAAAGAGTCAGCCATTCGAACCCACCCGTTACTCCCAGGGAGAAGAACGATGAGCGTGAGATGCTCTGCTCCCCCCAAGGTCTCTGGACTTGGAAACCCCAAGGGACAGTTGTACTCTGTCCCAGGGGATCACCCCAAGGCAGAATCAACTCAGTGGCAGTTTCTTTTTTTATAAATAATGCCAGAAAATATTATCTTCTAGAGTGTTCTTTCTGTGGTCACTGGCGATTCTAGGCTAATGTATGCACTCTGCAGGAGGTAGCCCATAACAACTTTAATAACTTCATGATCCTATCAATTTTCTTCTCCAGGTACATATTATTTCCTTCCCACCCCCAGCTTCTTTAAATCTCTGCGCTCCTGAGGGCGGAGGTAACAGAAGACAGAAGCACAAGTACCATCTCAAATTAAACAGGGGCCTAAACATGCTCATGTGTGTCCACTCTCAAACCCAAACCAAACTCACTGCCACCGAGTCAACACTGCCTCAGAGCGACCCCCGTAGGGCAGGGTAGAGCTGCCCCCGGGGGTTTCTGAGA